CTCGCGGGGGGATGGCGTGGGCGGCGCCGCAGGCAGGCAGACGCAGACGCAGCTCTCCAAGGGCTCCCAACTTCGCGCTTCGCGCTGCGCGAAGCGCGAAGCGCGAATAACTTCGCGCTCTCGCGCCGCCCCCCCAAAGGGAGAATAGGAGGACGAGGAGGAGGGGGAGAAGGAACGAGGACCGCGAAGCGCGAAGCGCGAATAACTTCGCGCCCTCGAGGGAGCCCTTGGCTCTCCGTGCAGGCCCCAAAGACGCCCTACCTCGGGAGCCAGGCCGGCTCCCGGCGCCCGCCGTCTGCCCGCGCAGTGCCAGGCGCTGTCGTGGCCCACAGCTCCTCTCCAGGAGGCGCCTGGTGGGGGCGGCACAGGTCCACTTCCAGCGCAGCAAGAGAAGAAGAAGAAGAAGAAGAAGAAGAAAGCAACGGCTTAAGCATAAGCTTTTGGCGCTCCGCGCGGATTTCTTGGATCTGGGCTGGACCCCTCTCCCTGGCGCGCGGAGCACGCCAGGCGCGGCGCCAGGGGCGGCGCCAGGCGCGGCGCCAGGGGCGGCGCCAGGGGCGGCGCCAGGGGCGGCGCCAGGGCGGCAGGGGCGGCGCCGGGGGCGGCGCCGGAGGGGCCCAGCACGGATCCAGGAATCCCGCGCGGAGCGCCAAAAGTTTACGCTTATGCCGTTTGTTCTTTTTCCAAACAAGCTACGGCAGGTTCGTGTCGTGCCGACCCCAGCGTCGGTTTTTGACACCGCAGGGATCGTTTAACCTTGAACGATCGGCCGCTGCCGCAACGTCCGATCGTTCAACATCGATCGATCTGGGTCACAGGCGGCGTTCAACCTTGAACGCCCGCGCTGGGGTCGCCGCTGGTCGACACGACGCAAACCTACCGTAGGGCACCCAAAGCAGCAACATGTGCGCACGAGCACGTGCCGATCGAGCTCGCACCAGCGCTCGCCGACGCCGGCCTGCCGTCGGGCGGCTCCCTCCTCCAGGCCCGCCCAGGGCGCGGCGCGTCCCACGGGTGCACAGGGGCAGGGCGCTCGCTCATGCGGGCTCTCGGCGGACGAGCATTAGCGATAAGTCGGGCATGCCCCTCTACAGGATGAATATTCAAAAGTAGTCAAAAATTGTCTGGGGACGATTTTTTGACCACTTGAACTATGTTTAGACATTCTGCGACTATTTTCTGCGTTCGTCCAAAATCCGCCTGTAGGAGGACACGCCCGACCTAACATCAGCGCACACTCGATGAATGTGGATCAAGATCCCATGAGCTTGAACAACACACTCTTGCCCGCACTCGCAATCCGTCTGTAGTGCCGAACCCTCGACATTTCAGCACGGCCCAGCATGCCCGAGCCTCGTCGTCGATGTCCAGGTCGTCGTCGTCATCCTCAGATGGCCAAGAGGGCGCGCCGAGAGAAAAACGCTCTCATGGACGGGACTGTCCCCTACAGGAGAGCACTAATTTTCTGGTTCCGCTCGGCGCATTTCCTTCTCATCCTTACCGCTTCCCCTTTTCCCTCCGATGAGGAGAATATGAGCATACAAAAGATCAGGGGCGGGCCTTCCTCGCCTCTGAGCCTCTCACTGCACCCCTTCACGACGTAACGACCCTCTCTGGAAACATGTGTGCGCATGTGTTTCAACTCAGATATGACGCCATGAACAAGCATGCTGCCATACTACACCTTTTCTGCGAAACCAACCACGGCTTCGACACAACACGGCGAGTGGGAACATGCAGTCGGCCGCGCTGCTATCCCGCGCAGGCGATCGATTACAAACTGCTCTCCTGATGCAAACATGTCTCTGGCGATACTCCGACGGAATGTCTGCTCAGCCGTGCGTTCATCATGTAATGTGATTTGGCCCCCCGCCTGGCCTCCACAATTGCATCATAAGAATATGACTCTTCTCTCCCCCGCACTTCCGCGTCCTGTGCAAAGGATTTGCCCGCGAACCGGCGAACTGGCTTTCCATATTGTTTGTTTTACCATATTATGCTTTACAATTGTTCAAACATGGTGATTTCGCTTCAGCATGGGCCACATGTTCGGATCAGCGCTGTGCTCACGGCGTTCAGAATTGCGCTCCCGTTCGAGCATGGGCCACTTTTCTTGATCCCGCAGGTCTCGCGGGTCTCGCAGGCCCCACAGGTCGCACAAGTCCCACAGGACCCACAACTGTCGCTGGTCGTACCACAGGTCCCACAGGTACCACCGGTCTGACAGATTCCACAGGTCCTACAGGTGTGGCAAATCTTACAGGTCCCACAGAGGTCCCCTAAGTCGCACAGGTCCAGCAAGTCCCGTCGGTGCCACGGGATTCACAGGTCTCGCAGGTCTCACAGGTCCCACAGTTCCCACAGTTCCCATAGGTTCCACAGGACCCACAGGTTCCAAAGGTCCCACAGGTGTCGCAGGTCTCACATGCCCCACAGGCCACAGAGGTCCCCCTGGTACAAGCTGTCCTTTTCCGACTGCGCATTATGTAACACGATGAGGACTTTTGTGAAGTTCCAGGTCGGCTATGGTCCGCAGTGGGAAGGAATTGGAGGGAGGGATAGGACATCAAACATGGCGCGAGCGCATCTAGCTTGTCCCTCCCGCTCTCCCTCCTCCCTACTTTTCCATCCCTCGACAGTTTCCACATTCCCCAGTCACCCTCTTCCATATCCTTATCATCATCATCCTCTCCTTTATCTCCGACCAACTGTCCCCACTGTAAGGGAGAAGCCCCCCTCTCCTCCGAAGGGTAAAATCGGTAAAGATATGAGCCCGACCGGGCTGAATCCAACAACGAGCACACCGCTCCACTGGACGCAGAAGGAGAAGGAGAGGAGAAGGAGAAGGATGTGGAAATTCGATCACTGAAGTTCGATCACTGACGAAACCTGCGGTGACGGAGCCCTGAAACGAAATACGAAACAGCACCGAACATCGGATACCGCCTCCCCTGCCGAATCTCACAGCAGTAAGGGAGAGGATGCGAGGGGAGGTGGGAGGGAAATGGAGGAGGGGGAGCAGGGAGCACGAGCGCAGGAAGGGGCAGAGAAGAGAATCATAGGGAGTACAAACCTGGAGAGGGGAGGGGAAGGAGGGGGAGGGAGTACAAAAAAGGGGAGGGAAGGGGAAGGAGGGAGAGGGAAGGGGAGGGAGTACAAAAAAGGGGAGAGGGAAGGGGAGGGAGTACAAAACTGGAGAGGGAAGGGGAAGGAGGGGGAGGGAGTACAACAAAGGGGACCGAGGAGGAGGAGGGAAAGGGGAGGCGGGAGGAGAGTGGGAAGTCAGAACGGGGAGGGGCAGAGGATATGGAGCCTGGGATGGACCCCAGCGCAGCGTGCGTGCTCTAAGGCCCGCGCCGCGGTCCCAAACCTGCTCAGCACAGCCAGCCATACCAAAATCTCCAGCCACGCATGGAACGACCTGGCGGGAAGGACTACCAGGGAGGGGGGAAATCGTATTCCTCCAGTGGCATCCTCCACCCCCCTACTCATCCTACTCCTTTACGTCTTCCCCTCCGTCGTCGATCCCTCGCCAGGGATAGAGAGAGAGAGGGATACAGAGAGAAACAAGAGTCAGTTGTACAAAAGAGAAGCGCGTCCCTCTGACCGACCGCCGACCACGTAGGCAGCCGTCGCGAGGGGGCACCCCAAGGTCGAAACTGAATGTGCACTCGAACTCCTCGGAACTGTCCTCACTCTGCACCTCCTCTCCATCACCCTCCTTTCATGCCTACCACTCTTGGAGCTACCTCTTCAGATGCAAACCAAAACATGCCTTGTATCCCTCCTCCCTCCCTCCCTCTCCGCATCCGTCCCTCCTCGCCTCCACCGCTACTTCCACCTGCTCCCCTCCTCACCACCTCCTCCTCCTCCCCTCTTTCTCCTTCTCCGCCGCCTCTGGCAGACCCTCGTCCTCTCTCTCCCCCCCCATCGGCTGGCCTCATAAGTTCAGCTGGATGGTCTGGGTGTTCTGCGATCGCAGCCTCAAGGCTCCATGCGGGCTTGAGCCAGCGGGCGCGCGAAGAACACGGGCGCGTCCCCTACCATGCGAACGACGAGCGGCTTGCACAGTAGCGATGAGGAGCGGCTTGCACTGTAGCGACTGGGAGGGGGGTCTCCCTGCTCCTCCTGCCGCCGCCGAAGGTCCACTTGCAGGCGCGCGAGGCGCCGCACGGATCGAGACCGTGCCCATAACCTGGATCGGAGAGCGGTCGGCTGCTGATCAGGCCGAGTCGGTCTCCGGGGGACAAGGCAAAGCCTGCCCTCAACGAGGTCCCTCTCAGAAATCACGCTCGTGCAACGCGGGGTCATCATGCAAGTGGTCTGGAACGAGATGAGTATGGTCCTCTCGGAGCTCCCCGCGAACCCCTCCTCGATCCACCTGGAAAAACATGGGAGGAGGGAGGAGGGAGGAGGGAGGAGGGAGGAGGAGGGAGGGAGGTGGGAGGAGGAGGAGGAGGGAGGAGGGAGAAGGGAGGAGGGAGGAGGGAGGAGGGAGGGAGGAGGGTGGAGGAGGGAGGAGGAGGGAGGAATGAGGAGGGAGGAGGGGAGGAGGAGGGGGAGGACGGGGAGGAGGAGGATCGGCCCACCGAGGGGGCGCGGTCGTAGCCTGGGACACGCCGCGACGGGGAGGAGGAGGAGGAGGAGGAGGAGGAGGAGGAGGAGGAGGAGGAGGGAGGAGAAGGGGAAGGAGGGGAGGAGGGGAGGAGGAGGAGGAGGAGGGAGGAGGAGGAGAGGAGGAGGAGGAGGAGAGAGGAGGAGGGAGGAGGAGGAGGAGGAGGAGGAGGAGCCTGCCCAGAGGCCCTCCGCGCCGGCATCAAAGGCCCTGGCCGTGCTGCCTCGGCCGTGCTGCCCCCTGCGCGCAGCCGAGGGCAGGCGCGTCCGATTGGCCTTCGTGGCCGCCGCGATGCCTTTCACGATGAGCATCAGCTGCGGGAAGGCCCGCATGAGCTTTGCCATCCGCGTGATGCCTGCGGCGGCGCGGCCGCAGAGGAGACACG